AGGCGCGGGGATACGGGCTCATCCGGCAGGGGCTCCGCCGCGGCGGGCAGGGGAACCCTAACGGTGGCGGGAAGGGGAATCGGTTGAACTGCCAAATGACGCTTCCCGGGAGTATCCGAATCGGACTCATCCGAGGAGGAAGACGATGCCTCGGAGTCATAGGCAAAGGCGTTGGGTCCCTGGAGGGATGGCTGCAATCCTAAGCTTCCGGGGATTTCTAGACCCACCGAAGGCTGAGGAGTAGCGCCCGAAGTGGCGTCGTTTGGATTCGTCTGCCGACGCTGATCAACCCCCTGTTTACAGTATTCTTCAAGTTCTTTGGCGGTTTTAATAATACTGCTTGTTCGTTCCATGAGCACATGCCACTCCTTTTCAACAATAGAAATGGTGTTTTTTTCGAGATCGACGGAATGACCCGACCCTAAGATCCACCTGGAAGAATAGTCCACACGAGGCGATAGCGGTGGGGAAACTGTGTGTGGGGAAGACCGCCTAAGCCCTTGTTTTGAGTGGTTGCTATGTTGATGGGTGGAATAGATTCTACGCGGTGTTTTGGAAGTCCAGAGTGCGTTGTGCTTCTCAGTCAAGGCCTTCATCGCCTCTTTGTGCCGCTCCGCAGCTCCTACAAGATTACTCACTCGACGCATGGCAAACTCAGTAGTGATGCGATTCATTTCGCGAGTGAAGTTGTTAACACTGGAGTGCATTTTTTCAACCGCCTCGGTAAAGACGTTTTTATCCTCCCATTGCACACTTCGTAGCGTCTTGTTAAGGCCAGACATGAGCGACAATTGACTGTTAATTCCCTTAATAATCTGTTTAATCACAACACGGCGGAAAGGCTTGGCCATAGAATAGTCTTCAAGCTTCCGCCCAGTGCTCCTGGATTTGTTCTTTGACCGGACAGCAGGCGCAGACGACGGGGAACCTTTCATGGATTTGACGACATCGTGCATCTGACGACTCAGTGAAATGCATTCTGAAATGATGTGCGCGCGGAATTCGCGATCCGGCACCTGGACTGGAATGGAGCTCATGTCGTATGAGGTAAAGCTCTTGCAGCACTCCTCGCTTCGCTCTATAAAGAGCTCAATCTGCTCAGGGGAAAGATACAAGGTCGGCTCCATTTCTTCCTTCTCCTCTAGAGTAATTTTGTTTATGGTGGACTTAATCGCAGCGCTTCTTTTTTTCAAAAAATCCTCCTGTCGAATGAGAAACTTTTTGAAGTTTTCAGGGATTTCGATTTCGTCCTCTTCAACATCATGCTCACTGAGATGCGCTTGATCATTTGAATCTGCATTTGTTTGCCGTTCTGATTTCATTGGAAAGGTGAGCACCAAGCAGTCGTTTAAGGTCGGATAGTGGTCAAAAAAAGAGGAGCCGCTTGCTTTTTCCAAAGCCTCTGTTCCAGAGTCGTTGCCTCGCCTAACCGTGAGGGGAGTAGGTGATATAGCGGTGTAAGGATAGGACACCCCTTTCCCCGGCCGCTGCGGGAGAGCTTCCCGGCTTGAAGTACGGGATTTATCAGGTTTTCGACCCTTCGGGACCTTGGTAAGACCACCGTAAACGACAATGGAGTAGTCGTCCCCACAGGGCGCGCTCGTTGCGAATACCATGGGTGGTAAAGCTGGCGAAGTCGTGAGCTTCGATCTCCACTCGTACTCCCCTTCTGTTGTTGGTGTTAAACACAAGGACAATTCCTTCGCGGCGAAATCAGCCCTCTCCTCGAGCGAGGGGGCCTCGAAGCCCCCAATCACGAGCATATAGCCCCCCGCCACGCACGCCGTATGGCCCGCACGGGGCAAGGCCTCGCTTGTCGTCAGCCTCTCCCACCGCTCCATGATGAGATCAAAGGCCCAAGTGTCGTGGAGGCAGCGATTGCGTTCGTCGTATCCGCCATACACAATCATATAATGACCGTATCGCACGGCAGAATGCAAAAATCTCGGCCCCGGACCCGCCTTCGCGTTGGTTCTGTCCCCTTCGCTGCTTTCCGAGTCCGAACAAGGGTCGGCCTGGACGAGGTACGTTTCGTAGTCCGTAATCCGAATGACAATAAGCTGTCCCGACACGAACAGCTCCTCCGTTAGGCCGCCGAAGACGAACACCTTATCCCCGAAGGCCACGACGGTGTGAAACGCCAGGGGGAAGGGCCGAAGCGGCTGAATCGCCCGCCAGTGCTGCTTTAAAAGGTCCATCTCGAAGAGGAGGGGGAGGAACCCCAGGTCGGAGGGCCCTCGTCCGGCGTGGGGGCCGGGCAAAAGTAAGCGCGCGCGGCGAGCGCGGATGGGGTCCCCGGCGGCCCCGTCCACGACGCGGGCGATTCGATGCGCCCCCCCCCCTGGGCCGATGCCCCCGACCACGACGAGCCGGTCCCGCGCCTCGACGACCGTCATCGCGTGGGCAAAATGGCCCTCCGGGGCGGACGGCCCCCCTTCGAGGCGTCGCCAGCGGGCCGTCAGCAGGGCGAACTCGAAAACCTCGGCGTTGAGTCGGCCCTGGGGGGGACGAGCCCGCCGTAGACCAACACGCGCTGGCCCTTGTCCCTCGCGTCGAGGTAGCCCGCGGCGCTCGCGAGGCTGAGGGGGGTGGGGCGGAAATGCCGGCGATCGCCGGGGTCGCGCAGGACGGAGACGGCCC